TTGACAGAACGCGCTATCCGGGATTCTAAATTCCTCAAAAGGAACTCAAATTGGCGCTTAGTTCCGTTTGATAGAAATACGTCCAATTTATCGAAACCAGCGGGTAATTCGTCACTTTCCTCAGAAGATTGTCGCGTTACCTGTTGTGAATTTTTCCCGCAATAACTCTCTTCCCGCGGGCACTGATGATTCGTGCGCTGTGTTCGGTTATTTTTGTACGCAAAGTTATTCTTACCGGTTTTTTTCCGCTCATTATTTTGGTGACGAAATTGACTTGATTTTGGTTTTTTACTGACGTGACTTTTATATTAGAGATACCGTTCCTTAGGCTCTGAAAAATGCTCATGATTTTTAGCATTTCCTGGCTCAAACTTGCGGTAATTTTCCTTCGGAATATTCTCGCAATGTTTAAACCTAGAATCATGCTTAAATTTGCTGTCTCTACGGTAATCATTATTAAAGTGTTCGGTAACAACAACTGACTATTTTGCTCAATTGGCGATTTCGTAGATTCGCCTGTTTTTCCGGTAGGAAACCAGTTGTGTGGATAAATGGATTTCCTTAATTTTCCTACCATGGCCCCTGATTTTATGAAAGCTGATTCATTGGATTCATTGAAAATTGGAATTTTTACTATTTCTTGATTGACGAAAATGACGGAGTGAACAGAATGAACTAAACCATTCCTGGAAAGTTGATGAGGCGAGAACGTATAGTTAAAACCAAGTTCAAAGTTATGCTGAAATACTTTGCAATCAACGTGAGTTACTGAATTAAGGCTTAAATTTATTGGAGCAATCACAAAAAGTAAGTTGTGTTCCTGTCTACTTTCATTGAAATTTTTAGAAAATTCCGGTTTTTCCGCGGAAAAACTGGTTTTCTGTGAAAAATTCTGAAATTGTCGATTTCCGCGCGAGGAATCAGTGAATTGTCTCCTTCCTGCGGGTTCATTCGGTGAGGAGTTTCTCGGAGAAAAGTTTCTCTGATTTTTCCCGTCTCGGGAAAATGCTGAAATTTCTGAATTTTCTTGTCGGATTTGTGGCCTTGCTTTCTGGACGGTGTATATACTGGAAGGAGGGTTATTTTCCAAACTGTGGCTCTCACATGGGACCGTTCTTATTACTCCTGAGCTTAACTTTAAAATATTCGCATATGAGTCGCTCAGGGACATGAGCATGCGATTTTTTGGAAGAATTAGAGTTACTTTACACTTGTCACAGAAATCAATGCCCAGAATTCCAGAGACCGAGTCAACGGTATCACAATCGAGAACATGAAATTCATGTTGAAACATATGGTTTCCATAAGTGAGTGGCACATTCACTGTTCCAGCAGTAAGGACCTGTGGTTGACTGATATTCGTTAAATAAACGCGCTTTGTTGGGTTTTCAGACCCAAAGGACAGTTTTATTTGTCATTTTTTAGTGGATATATTTTCAGTTTATTCTTCCCGCTATTTCTACCGCGCTGCCCGCCTTCCCCTCTCTTCCCGCGTTGTCACCCGCGTCGCCACAGCTTTTCGCAGTGCGCGCGCCGACCTCGGTGCAGCTTTTCTGCGCAACCGCACTGAAAAAAAATTCTCGGCGTTTTTACCACGGTCCATTGGTACCTTTACCATCTCACTTTTTTTACCAATTATTGGTAATTTTACCAAGACACACTGGTAAGCTTACCTAAAAACCGGTATTTGTACTGTTTTTTCAGGTAAGAATACCACTTTTATTGGTAATCGATTCCCGGTAACTTTGCTATTTTATCTCGGTAATTCTACTATACAGTCGATAAAAAATATTGGCGTTTTTACCAAGGTCCAGTAAAATTACCGAGAAAGTTCAATAATTTTACCGATGTTTCTCGGTAAAATTACCAATTCCATAAATGGTAATTTTACCAAGAAAAAACTGGGATCAAATAGAACCCTGAATTCTTGGCAATTTTACCCTTTTCTTAGTAAATACACCGAGATTTTTTTCTCAGTGCGTGCCTCGCGGTGGCCGAACCGCAACCCGCAGACGAGTGGGCCAGGAAGGATGGCGATGTTTTCGAATAAATCGATTTCGGGAAATCGATTTGATTTTCGGTAGAAAATCGATTCGATTTTAAAATCGGATGGAAAATATCAATTTAGGGTAAAATCGATTTTCTTCGAAATCGATTTTTAAACACTTTAAAATCCACCTTCAACGCCTTAAACAAATCTGAACCTTGAAATGAAACTCGGGTTTCACAGAATTTAGGCCTTTCTGTGCCACATTAACGTAGAAAATTTCGAATTTTTCAATAATTCAATTTCTGCTCGAAAAATCGACTTCGATTAAAAATCGGCAACAAAAGATCGATTCGATTCTCTCGATGATTTTTTCCAATAAATCGATTTACCGAAATAATCGATTTGATATCGCCATCACTACGAGCAGCCAGCACTCAGCATCCAGCCGGCGCAGCAGATCTCGTCTCTCCCGCGGTACGTTCGACGTCATTTCTGATTTAGGTATCTATTCGCCACGACGCTTTTCCGTGGTATGATTTCCACTTTCCTCAAGAGGCACATACCTTGAGAGGACCCTAGGGACGCGCACATTCCCCTATTTGCCCCAAGACGGTTTTCCCTGGGAAGCTCATTTTCCCAGGACGGTTATCCCTGGGAAGCTTATTCTCCACTTTGCTTTTTAGATATTACTGCTCGTTATTTGCCCCCATATCTTTATCATCGTTTCGATATTTTCCTTTATTCTTCTCGTGGTGGGATGCCTAGGTACGCGGCTCGCCTAGTTACCTCGGGTTCTGTCCCCGAGATGCTCCTCTTTCTTTCCCTTTAGTTATTTTTCTCGTTTTCTCCTTCTCTTTTTCACGGTCCTCCGAACCCTCTCTTTCACTCCGTCTACGTACGCGACACGCTTATTCGGATTCGTGTGTCACGTGACACGAATTTTCCCCCTTCAAAATGCTTAATTACCATACTACTTAAAGGCAATCTTAAAGGCATGTGTTTTACCTCGAATTCTGCTGTATAGCCCAAGTTATCCTTTTCAAGCATTATTACACATAAGCTGGATTTGAATGATTATCATGCGATTGCAAAGTTAATGCCCCACTCGCCCTGGTGGGGCCGCTTGAAAATTTTGACCCCTAAGATAAGAATTGGATGAACTTTATTCGGTGGGTCCGTAGCTAGAAATATTGTGTTTGTTAGTTTTCCTTGAGTAGCCCCTATTAAAGTCTTGTCGTGAGGGTTGCCTATCTCTGTCATTTTCAGTTGACGCGAATACCTTTTTTTTTTTGCGGAACTTTTGGTATTCTGTAAGATTCTTGTAATTGTCTGCTGTTGCTTGAGAGGCGATGCTCCGAATTAATTTTAGTTGCATTATTTTTTAAACAACTCGAGCTTTCCAGATGACCTTGTTTCATACAAAAATGACATGTTCTCAACATGTCTTAAAAAGTCGCTTCTTTAACTGCATCCTCAAAAGTTTTGGGACGGTGCACTATGACAAAACGTCTTATTTTATGAAATAAACCTTTAAGAAAAATAGTTTTTAACTATACGGATAAATGTTTTTTCAATATTGCCTCCTCAGCCTCGTCAGTAAAAATTAAGTATTAAAGTCCTCTTTATGAGGACCCTTTCATTTAAAAATAAAAATCAAAACTTCAAATGCACAGTGCCGATCTGTTTGTCCAATATCTATTGACCGTTTGACCCAATCCCTGTTCTAATCAAAATATTTTAATCCTTGCATCTGTGCATCCTTACTCCTTGGAAGAACCGTATTTCTTGTTCATAATAATTTTGATAGATGAGTTCCTTTATTCCGTCATAAATGGTGTTGGTTTAAGCAGATGCTAACGGCATCTGGCAGCAATTGCATGCATTATCCTCATAGGAGGCGTCACCACCCCATTTACTAATTTTAAGGAACCTGGTTTCTTCTTTCGACGCAACGTGTTTTCCTCTTTCAAGCAAGCTGGGAAGTTGAAAAAAGGATACGACGGTGCTCTGAAGGCGTTGTCCCCGTTTACTAATTTCAAGAAACAGGTTTCTTCATTCAAGTACACGATCGCTTATTTTAAAACGCCGTTGATTTTATTCAACAAAATAGGTCTTTCTTGTTCCAAGACAATTCTGAGTGCCTACATTGAGAAACCCGGTGTTTTCTTCCAAAGCGGACCCGCCTTGGAATTAGTAGAAAATCCGAGTCAACGCGTTTACTTAAATTTAGTACATACATATAAGTCGCTTTACAGCACTCCCTCGCGCTCTACGACTCCTAACCTCCACTGCTCTCTTTCAAACCACAAATCTTGGGGGATTGAGCACCTTAACATTTCCGCTTCAATCCCTTCCCTCCAACCTTTCATTGGGCGCCCTCTGCGTCTTCTCCCAGGAGGAACCCAGTCAAGGACCTTCTTCGGCAACCTGTCTCCTGCCATTCTCTGGACATGACCATACCAGATGAGTTGTTTCGTCATAATGTCATGCACGATGGTCTGCTTGGCATCCATGATTTCCCGTACCGTCTCATTCCTGACGCGATCCTTTCTGGAAATACCAGCGGATCTACGCCAGAAGTCCATCTCCGTTGCCTCTAAAACCTCCCAGGTCCGCTGTTTGATCGGCCATACTTCACACCCGTAGGTTACTATGCTCTTGACAATCGCGTTGTAGATCCTTTTTCCGTGTAGATTTTTATTAAAATACGAATTGAAAAAAAGTAGAAAGAGTTGAAGAGATCATTTCCCCAGCCAATCTGTCAAGAAAGGCGGATCCATCAATATGGCAACACCGGATCTCCCCCCCCCCATTTAAACCTATGTTAAATAATCGATTCTTGTCGGAGCACCTGGCCTCTCCAAGAGTCGATACGTTTCTATAGGTTTAAATGGAGAAAAGAAATGTTGCCAATTTGCTGGATCCACCTATGCCCGTCATTACGACCCTCACCTTTTATTTCTCCGAGGCAACTTTAAATCGACAGATGTTCTTTTGCCGAATGTTACAGTGGAAGAGTTCAGAGATTTATACCTCGTGAACTTAGAATTGCCCCGAGGCCCGAAACTGGAGTCGGTTGACAAAGGAAGTCCCAAGTCGCCACCGGGGAAGAATACGAAAAGTGCAGAAAAAGGAGGTGGAACAACCCCTATTGCCCGTTCTCCCACCGTGAGAGGCGAAGGTTCCTTCGCACCAACGAACAGAACTCGCCGGCAGTTTCCGAATCCTGCTTATTGGAGTTACACCGATAGAGAATACTATCCTGAAGTGGGTCCCCATCAGGTCTGTATCAACAATTTTCATATACGGTGTGAAGTCAGAGAAAAGTCAGGGAAATTACCGAGCACCGTCCAATTCCGCCCCGTGTCTGATTCCGACCCCCCACCCCCACCCCCCACCCAACAAGTCGCAGTGATCGCGATAAGTTGCAAGTTGATTGGATAATGTATACAGATTCTATCGACGTGGATTTATTGCAATATTATCGGATAACAAATTGCGATGAATTGCGATTTCATCACATAAATTTGCAATAAAATGGCGATTTATCGGCAATCTATCGGAATATTACCAAACTAAAAATCGGCAAACTTTCCATCATATCGAACGCGATTTAATAGAGATAAAATTGTGACAAGATCTAGCTAGGATATAATCGGTGAGATGTTGATAATCCTACCGATTTTATCGCCAAAAAATCGCAACTTAATTTCAAAACATCGCGATTTTTCCGTTGAAAAATGCTACTTGGGCCGGCCCATTTTTTGAATAATGTATGCGGCAACGTCGCAGTAATCGAAGCGGCGGAAATTGAATTTGAATATAGAAAATGATAGTGACGATCGGATGAGCAATAGATGTACGACCGATCTCAAGATTGTTTTTATTAAATACAATTTAGATCTTCACTGAAATTGGTTCGTAAATGAGAAACTTAGGAAAAATAAGTGTTTTTAAAGCTAAAAAATGTAAAATTTGGAACGTTGTACGTAAGTTTTAGCAGTAGCTAAAACGAGGCTTACCCATGAGTCAAAACTTTTAACGGAGACTTTTTTCATCATAAATTTTTATTTACGCTTCGTGTAAGTATTGTAAAGTCTACCTTGAAGTTGGTTTTTGAACAGCCATGCATTTAGATCGCTCTAATTTGAACTAGCGCAGAAATTGCAGCTTCAGTACTCATGGCACTCGCTTTACGGGAAAAACACCCGAAATCTATGCTACACTGACGTGTGCGGCACCGGCGTGCAATGGAGGTTTTATCTTTTGATCCGCAGCCCTGCGAGAATTTCCCTGACTCCGAACCAAAGACATAAAGAAGGAGGGCTAAAAGCAAAAAATGAAGCTTCTTTTCAACCACCTCTACTATTGGCTAGAGGATTGGCGGCGAAATCGGGACAAGTTTGAATTCAAATGTAGGGCGGGAACTGAATAAAATAATTGCGGAAACAAAGTATTCTAGGTTGATTTTTGCCCAAATTCACTTACCCACTCATATTTCTTTAACTTTAGGTTAGCTTTGGTCCGTCGTCGACCGATTAATTTCATTTGGGAGTAACGGTCATCCAGAACTGTAACGACCTGTTTGAACCTGCAGAACCACCATGAGCAGAAGAAAAACTAACTTTATCTGAGATTACTGCCTATTACCAAGCAAGAGTAGGTGTAATACAATAGGACGCAGTCCCAACTTTCTTAATATATTCGTTTTAGGCATTTAAAATACGTTTCGAAGAAGAAATATGGAAAAATTAAGAGGACAAGTTCAAATCAAATTTCCGTTTGCCGCCATGGATTCCCGCGCTCATTTACACACTCACACAAGCACCCAGCGCCAAACCAGGCTTCACTTTTTCCCCGTGCTTTTAGATACGAGCACTCCGTCTTTATGTCTTTGCTCCGAACAGAGGTGATATTGAGATAAGTTGCAAAAGCTAGAATGTGGCTCCGCCCACACTCAAATGCCTGTGTTATTTGCAATTTTCAACTTCATATACATAGAATTGGACCACATTTTGCAACAAGGAACCACTATTACTGGCTCATTTCAGAAACAACTATTTGTCATTGGTTCCCCAATGCAGATAGGTGCTTTTATGGATGAGCCAGAATTAGTGCAGAATTAGTGGTACCTTACTGCAAAATGTGGTCCAATTGTAGTGCTTCAAAGTTTGCATCGCTGTTTAAAATTAATCTGTGTCTGTTTTTCCCGAAAGAAATCAGGGGATGTAAGTGTCAAATGTCAGAAAATCTATCCTAAAAATAAGGGAATTTCGGACTCAGACTAAACTTGCAACCCCGTGAACTTTCTGTAATTTCTGATTTTTCTAGAATAATTTCAAAATTCAGTCAGGGACTCCGATTTTTAAAATCTACATCTCTCTTTATCTTTTAAGGGGAGTGAGGAGGGGGGGGAGCTTTGAGACGATAAAATTAGGATTCCTTGGGAGAAATTCCCTATTCGTTCCCGAGATCTCGAACCTCGTTCGACCTATAATAACCAAGAAAAAAGCCTAACATAGGTAATTGTGATTGCTCTCTAGGAAAATACCATGGCGTTGCGTGCTTTGCCATGTATCGATCGATCTGGCATTTTAACCTAAGGAAAAAGATCGATAAACTGGGTGTTTCATCGGACACCTTAACAGTTGATTCTTTACCTTAGCTTTAAATGATGAAATATCGATAGACGACCATTCACGCCTCTCCACTGAAAAATGCTGCCCGTTCCTAATATATTTCACACCCACTATTTCACAGGGACGTTGCATGGCATGCATTGAGGTAGCATTGGCAGGTGCTCTGGCAATCTTGAACTCCAAAATGGCGAATCGTGATGCAGGGCTTCTCGCAGCACAACGTAAGCATTCAATATGGTGTTCATGTTTTATTATAAAAATGAGCATGTCACTCTGCCGCACTATATATGGAAAAACGCCGTATGAGCATTTTGCTGTTGCCAAATTTCCTCCGACAAGATATTTATTTTTGAAGAGCATTATGAATATTTTTCCTTGAAATTTTTAGGCACTTTAGATCAAATTATGGGCGAGCCCCCCCCCCCCCCCCCCCCCCCC